TGCCAAGTTTGGGTAGGGTCATTGTGGGAATTAAACACGATGATACCTATAAAGCACTTAGCATAGGGCTTCACACAGTTAGAACTCAGTATATCTTAGCTATTATTAAAGATCCTTGTTTATATTTCTAGCTCCCAAACCATAATGTTTTTATACATGCATATATAAAAACACACATATGCACATAAACATAACCCAACATAAAGGTATTAAAAATGATTCCCTTGGCTACAATTAGTGCTAGGACTATATATTGCTGAACGTTTATCTCAGTATGGTAAAAATAATAATGAACAAGTGATTTTCATGTCCAGCAAAGTCTACTCAGCCAAGATACAGTCTGAATAACATGGGCCTGATTTAACAATTCCTCATTCAGAAAATGTGATAGAGAAGACTGTGTTGTGATGAATATTAAGTAACATCTCACTCACAAATTCCAAATCTTGTAAAATAGGGGAAAAAAATACAAGAAGTGCATCACATTCTTTCTCCAATTTCATAATTGATTTATTCAACCAAGAACGCATGCCATGTTTCAGGCTGTGTGAATGTGAGTGTGTGTGTGTGTGTGTGTGTCAAATGGTAGATTAGCAGAGTTAAAATAGTTGGCAACCCTGTGAATGATTTCAATGTGCTAAATCTGAAGATTCAGAGTAGACTGAAAAGAAATGTTAAGATTTAATCACTCTCTAAACACACACACCCCGTCACATATACAATTTATCATGTCCAAGGACAGCTAATCCCAGTAAGAATAACAGCACAATTTGCAAAGATGGCAGGTCAAGCTCCAAGTTGAAACCAGATACGTTGAAGAGAAAATTAAGTATTACATGGTAAAACTCTAAAACCAAACAAAAAAAGAATCAGTGGATCTTAAATTATATCCAAGTGAGGAAGCCAAGTAGAGGATAAGTGGCTACTTATTCAGGGAGGAGGTGACAGCAGATAGGCTAAGTCAGTTCATTGTCCTGGTCTTTACGCAGACATTAGGAAGATTGTGACTTGAACCTGACAAGGGCATGATAGGAGATCAGATAGTGGTAAATGAGCAAGATGTTCCAGGCCTGGAAGATAATGTAGATGCTGATAAGGCACAGGAACCAGGACATTCTCCTGCGCTCCTTAAAGGAACTCAAGGGCAAAAACTGGGTGTTGCTGTATAAAATGCTTAACCTATCATTAGCAGCACGCCAGAGGACTCCTGAGTGGCCAACCTGACCTCTTTCATAAAGGTAATGGCTACAAAGTTAGCATGGAATTGTTAAATAAATCTCAGCACAACAGAAACTGTAGAGAGCATGCCTTGAAGGTTAAGTGGAGCAAATCAGGGACAAATAGCCAGAAAAAAGTCTTTAATTGTAGTTAGCAAACTTAAGGAATTCATTACCCCTGGAGATGTGGGCTAAAAATAGAAATAGATTCCCAAAAAGTGTAGATCAATTTAGAAATAACACACTCAAAATGGAAACCAGGCTTTCAGGGCCAAAGACTTGGATCCTTGAAAGTGACATTGCTGAGGGCATAAACAAGTGACAAATAAAAACGGCAAGCAATAGGATACATTGGAGTATATGAGGAAGCCATTTGGTATAAACCTCGACCTGACTTTGTTTTTCCCAAAAGGGCCTGACTGTGGCTATTGAGCACGCATTGTATATCTGCTTTAAAACACTTCCTATGGCAAGAACAAATGGCCTTAGGATAAAGGTGCAACTTCCCCCCACATTGGAATTTCCTTAGGGATAAGCATCTTTCCTTAGGCTAGGAACTGATTGCTGCATTCACCTTTGACCACCCAGCTCACCTGCGACCACCCAGTTCCACCCTGCTGTGTTCACCGAGACAGCAGACATACCTGCTGTTTCCATCAATCGCTGTGCCGACAGAGCAGTCTCGTGACTATTGTAAAAGGGACATTTCAGTCATATGTGAAACATCCTGTTTGGGGTATATAACCACTCTGTGCACCCCACTTCTTCAGTGGGCCATGGTCCTCAGATTTCAGCTCAGAATAAACTCTCCCAAATTTTCATTTATAGATTGGTTATGGATTATTTTCATCAACACAAGTGCTCCCCTAACACTTCCTGGTACCTTTGGGCTGCGTCTCTTTTGTAACTCCTATATACCAACCATCTCTCTCTCTCTCTTTTGTTGAGCTGTATCACTCTCACTTTCAGTCTTGGTTTTTGGTCTCTTGGTCTCACACATACTAAAAGCCTGGTGGATAGTCACTGTGCTTCTGCCTGTGACATAGTATCACTGTTTCGGTCTTGTTTCTCTCTCTTCTTCTTTCAGCAGGAGCAGAGTACAACGCATTCTGCAGAACCAAGAAACAGACACTGTACCTGCCCGGGGCAAGGGAGCAGGTAGGCTCACATTCTACCTTTGGCTTCCAGAAACGCTAAGTGTTCTCAAGAGAGCAAACGCTGCTAAAACCTCATTCCATCTCCCTCCATCCTAATAGGCCCACCTGTCCCCATGGAAGCGCTGATGAATTCTTTCTGGTAGGACATTAAGGGACACTGAGGAAGGAAGCCATTCCTGTAAACAATAATCCATTTATAGATTCCCTTTTTTTCCATCTGCCCCCCAAACAAAAATCAGTGAAGCTTTTGTGACCCCTGGAATGGGAGATAATATATAAGACTTCTCAAGGGGAGCATCATTATGTTTTTATTATGACCTAAAAGAGACATGGATCTGGGATTTGGAGAGTAAGTGCACAAAGAGGACACTACAGAATGGGGAACACATACTGCCTCTATTCTAAATGAAAAAAATATATGAAGGGAGGCCTTGTTATTTCCAGGTCATGTGCCTTAGCAAATTCCAACACAAAGACCATCTCGATGTCAAAAGGCTGTATTCAGAGAGCTACCTCCAAATTCAGAGGAGTTGGCCTCCAACACAAATTACATAACCCAAGAGGGAAATGTGTTTTCAGTTATATCAGGACTGAACAGGCGTCTCCCACAGGATCTTTCTAAATAGGAACTTGGCAATGAGATTTAGTTAGGCCGGAGGGGATGTCTTTGGCTGCAGAGTTGAAGCCCTTCAGGGTCTTGAGGAAAGTTGGACAGAAGTTCTTTCTCCCTGCTGGTAACAACACTGAAGAATCAGCGTCACATTCATTTTATTAATTTTCTTGACAGGCAGCTCTAGTTTCCGTGCAGGCACCACAAAATCAAAACACACGCATGTCAAATGCCCCACGTGTGGTGAGGCTCTGCCAAGGCCATGTTACATCAACATGAGGAAGCAGAGCCCAGGTCCTCAGACCCTGTGCCTGGTCCTGTGGGCAATTCCTGCTGGAAGAAACCACCAGAACTTGGATCAACAAGCCAGAGGAACTCTCTTAGTGACAGTCCTTATCCTGGGTCTGGGCTCCTTGTGTTAAATATAAAAGCCCTGGGAGACACAAGGCTACATCTGGCTTTTGGGCTTGTTTCTAAGTCCAGCCACACAGACCTCCCTGTTGTGCCCATTTTGCCTGCATTCAGCTTCATCCAGGGAGGGGAACAGCAGTCTGGATAAAAGAAGCCATTTAAAGGAATGCAACGCCCTTATTTGTGAGCTGGGTCTGAGCCAGGAGTTCTGTGGAGTTGAGGTCTTTGGGCACATAGTGAGTGGGAGGATTTTTAAATCAAAGCATCCATTGCTAATGTGATTGAAGGGACTCTCAAACAATTTGTTCTTTTACGTAGAGTAATACTAACTACAAATTGGCTAAATAATGTAAACTAGATGGGTATAGAGGGTAAAGAACCAGAAAAAAACCCTGTTCTAAGTCACACAACTTGTGGATGCCCAGGATGAACATTAACATAGAGTTATTCCATCACCTGCATCCGCATCCTTCCCACCCATCCCTCTCATTGCACCCAGGGCTATTTCCTCAACTCCTTCGAATAACTTATTGCCGGTGGTTACAGCACAATGGCAGCAAAAGGCTGGAGAGCTCACACCTTTGATTTCAGAGCTTCTAGCCTGCTTTGAGGGACCTCCTGGTGACTCACTAATTTCCTACCACAACCACTACTAATTCAGGGAAAGGAATGTAAATCAATGAATAACAGGGAGGGAAATCTAAGCCCAGATCCTGAGCGAATGGCCAAATCAGAAAGGCCCAAACTAGACAGGCTTTACTGGACTGGTTTGCCATCTTGACTGTCTAGCTGAAGAATAATCCAAGGATAAGGACTGGTGTTATCATTCTCCTGCACTCCTAAAGCCCTCTACTAAGAGGCCAGGAACCTCAACGTAATGTCCTGGAAACACTCCTGGCCTGGCCTATGAGGACAGAGTTGGGTCTTTCTTTGTCTGAGTTGATCCAGCAGGCAGGGGCCACTTTGGGAACTTCGGAGCGGCTGCCCAGTCAGCTCTGTGGGGTGAACCGGCTGACAAGGAGATGAGCGTAACCAGACTGCCTGTCTCATGGTGTAAAGGGCGCCGCCGCTGAGGACTCAGTTCATCGTTTAACTCTTCATTCAAATAACCATGGCATGTCAGCCCTGCTGGCTTCCTTGATTGTGCAGAAATAAATAAATGAATTATGTTGTTGGGGTTTGGGCTTCAGCACAAACACATGGTCTGCATTTATCTGCACAGTGAGAGGTCCACCAGCCACTTGATGTAAGAGAGCAAAATGATAATTCTTTTCTTTAGGCGCTCTGGAGCCATATGGAATGGATATAAATCATATTTTTGTTTTAACAGCGGAGGCTTTGTTGATAGATAAACATGTGGTTTATCTAAAAAGAGAGAGGATTGTGCTTTGAACAATCATTTAATGGCCGTGGATGTGCCAAATAAAAATAAAAACATAATTTTGAAAGAAGTTGGCCTCATGCCCAAATCTGTAACAAGGAATTTCTCCTTAACCAAAGTGGTTAAAGCCTGTCGATCTGTTTTGAGTTTAAGCTGTGCTCTCTACTCAACCCCACGACAAACTGAATCCGGGGCTAATGTGCTCTAATAGGACAAGACGTTACCTTTATGAATGACCTCATGGAGAAGAGGTTGGCGAGCATGGTGGAGAGGCCTTGAGCCAGGCAGCTCTGGGCTATGAACCCCAGCTTCAGCTCTGCGAGGCAGATTGCATCATCACCCTCTTTCCAATTCCAGCTTGGGATGTTTAGCAGATGGGCCTGTAGAAACAAAAACAGGTACGAGACCTTACTGTGTTAAATGTTCAATTGTTTAAAATCTCCTCTGAGAAATGCAGCATTGCCCAATGTTCAGGGTCATCCAGACTCCTTTCTTTCTCTTCCTGTGTCTGGTGTTTGGTGTTTTATTCAACTTTTATATTGATCAGACTTCAGTCTCTCTGGAACATTGCTTCTGCACCTACCAAGACCAAGTCCTCCCCTAGGGTCTGTCATTCGGCCAGATAGAGTCCAGAAGGAATTTCATCTTGTAACAGACACATCAGCGCATGCTACTAAGGTGTCTGGCTGGCTAGGTTATTCTAAACTGGATCCTCAAACAGACTCTAAGACTGCCAGATGTCTGTGTATTTTAGATTTCTTTTTTATCTGCCTTCCCAATTCTCCAGATCAGTGGCTCCCAAAGTGGAGTGGGCATCAGAATCACCTGGAAGGTTTATGCAACAAATACATATTGCTGGCCCCTCTCCCACAGTTTCTGATTCAGTGGGCAGGGGGTAAGGCTGGAAAATTTGCATTTCTAACAAGTTCAAGGTGATGCTGAGTGCTGATCTGGGGACCAAACTTTGAGAAGCACTGCCCTAAATCATCAGGGACACACCCAGCATAGACATGCTACAATCTCTTGCTCTCTTGCAGACAGACTGATCCTATTCGACAGCTAGGTCAGACCCTAAGATAAGGACCAAAAGGCACACTTATCCAATTATTTTTAAGGGGCATGAAGCAGAGAGTCAGAGATGATACATTGGATAAAATAATCAAGATTCAAAAAGTTCTCCAGAGTTGAAAAAAATGGGCAAAAAACCAACCAGAAAAGATTTAAAAGATCTTACTGTGAAGTACAGCATTTAGATTAAAAAAAAAAAATCAATTATATCAATTCAAAATGAGAAGAATTAACTTGGCAGCAGACATGAGGGGAAAGAAAAGAAAAACTTGAGTGTATGGGTAACTAAAACCCCAAAGAGAGGCCAACTGTGTGACAGATTATAGAGAAAGCCAAGGCTCGCTTGTTAGAAATGGTCTCAGGATCAAGGGAAAGGACTGTTTCATTCTGCTGGGAACCGGTCAGGCTAGTTCCAGAGTGCTTGACCCAGTTGTAACAGTCAGATTTAAAAAGGGAAGCTGATAAATTGAATAACTTCCAGGGAAAAATGACAAACACAAGGAGAGGTATGGGTTCTGGAAACTATCTTTTGAGGAACAGTGAAGAGAGCCAGCAGCGCTTGGCTGAAGAAGGGCCGCGCCATCGTGGAGACAGGATGGTCACCTTGCAACACCTTGTGCTGCTGTGAGGAAGGGAGATTAGGCTTGTCTTGCTTTGTTCCAGGGCCCAGAAGTAGGACTGACAAGTGTATACAACAAGAAAGCAGTTGTTTGGCTTGTTTTATAAGAGACCTCTCTAAGGATGTAATTTGTCTAATAAATGTAGATGGCTGCCTCCAAAAGTACAAGGTCTTTGTCCTTAAAACTCGGTAACTGCTTCTCCAAGTCGCAGTGGAAGGACTTCTTGCTTTGCATGGGAGGTTGAATCCGAGAGCCCTTCTGGGTCCCTGCTAATGCCAAGACTCTATGGCCCTGAAATGACTATTTCTCTCCAAGTATCCACAAACTCAAAGAGCACTCAGGAGGCTTCCCTTCAGTTTCAGGACAACATACAATAGTTGTACTAGAAGGAGATGGAAGACTCCACTGTGGAAACAAAGAGCAAGTCCAATGGCTCTGTGCTCTGCTTTCGGAAATACCACTCTTGTGAAATTCCTTCTTGCAAAATTCAGTTCTATAACAATATCGTGAGTCCTAACCCAGCAGTGTTTATTCCTGGGAGAGATGATTTATCCTCCCTGACGAGAGCGCAGTTAAAATAGTCCCATGTGTGGGCCGTAGCAGATGGTAATTTCTATCAAGTTGAGTATGAGACCTTCCCACATCCTATACTCAATTCCAGCAAGTAGGCCTGCCCTTTACCCCATTTCTCTACCTACTCTTCACTAGCTTCAGAAGGCCACTTTTCCCCTTACTTCTCTGTCATCATAGAGAATAATACATTAGTCTAAGTGAAGAAATACTCATTTGCATTAACATCAACTGAGAAAAATGAGGAGAAATTAAATCTAAGTAATGAACAAATAAATCATCAAGTATGAAAGGAGATTTGGGTGGTCCAAGACCCAGTTAGACACCACATAACCTTCATGGCACCTCCAAACAAACCAAACCTTTTCATGTGCCATCCCCATGCGCCATCCATGGGATGATGTCCAGGCTTTTAGGCTTTGGGTCCTTCATGTTCCCATCTGGTTTGTGTTCCTTAGACATATTTTACATGTTATTACACAAAGAAAGTCAAGTTTGTTTCATTTCTCAGACTTCCACAGCCTCCTTTTCTTGCCACCATATTTTCTCCAATTGTAGGGCAGGGAGCCATAATGGATGTGCCAAAGGCTGAGAGGGAAGTCTATGTGCATGAAACAAAAGAGAGATTGACCCAGGAATTCAAATTCTTTGCTTCTGGCAACATTATCCTTTTTCATTTGAAGGAAATTTTGGTCTGGTGAAAAGTGCCAGCATTACTGCACGGGAGTCTAGAGGCAAATCCTCTCTAATCTGCAGAAATAGACCTGCTGAAGCAGGTCTAGCAAGACCAGGGCTTCCCTCTGTTTCTGCAACTGGACCACGCCTCATCTCAAGAAGAAGGAATGTAAAAGTAAGCTGTCCTGGGAAACCAGCAGAGATGAATTCCAGTCCCAGTTCCACCTCTCACTACACATGCAACTTTGGGGGAGCCACCCTGAAGAACAAAGAAGGTTATTTCAGTGAAAACACTTAACACTCCTGCCCAAGTGTAAGGGTTTATATGGAGAAAACTCAGAGAACTTGCATGTCCACTGGGCCATTGGGACTTGGCTTCTAGGTCAGAGACAAAGACCTCTTTCTCTGAGTCTGCTGGGACAATTAAAAAAATTCACTAAAAGCTAAATCACCAGGAGTGATGCTTTTCCAAAATGTCATAAACCATTCTTTCCTTGAAGAGCTCCAAGCCATTTACACTCAAGCCAGAAAATGCCCTGCACCATCTTCTATTGGTGTCCAGAGATGGCCAGGCTGAGTGCTCTTCTTCAAGAATTCCAGCAATATTAAACAGATCCACTTGGAGAACATCAGTGCTTCTAGAAGGCCTACTCTGAGGAACCACAGTTTGGTTCATTGGGCTGTGGCCCTATTTAAAGAGCAGGTGGTATTTGGCAGTTCTGTCTGCCAAGAGACTGTGAGTTGTACCCATCAGAGCTGCTGTGTCTGAGACACAGCTTAGACCCTGCTCAGGAGTCACATTGGGATGCTAAAATGCACAGATGGTCAAATGAGGACTAAATGAGATAATGTATGTCAAAGCTCTTTTAAAACCATAAAATATGACACAAATGTCTGAGATTACTATGATGACAAACTCAGGACCAGTTTTACATGGAGAGAAAGTAGGCAGCTTCCCTAAATGCTACTAGGCCCTAGGATACCACCATCACTAGATCATAGGGGATTGAAATTCTTTGTATTTTAAATCAGGTATCAATTGTGGAATTAACTATCTCTTGGAACATGTCAACAGTGACATAAGCTTACACACATGTACCAGGTTCTTTCTGGAAAGCAAGTTTTAATGGTGGAGATCGCTGGACATCTAGTCACAGGTGAAGAGAAAGTGCCAATAGAGAAAGAAAAATAATATTGTAAGGGAATAGGAAAAAAACATATTGAAAGGGAAGGTGGAGCATCTTAGGAAACAGAGCAAAATTGTTAAGCAGCATGAAGAATGCACATGAAGGAATGATATGACAAACAATGACCAGCGGACTTTCTGTTCTTTCTCTAGAAGAAAGAAATGAAATGATAGAGAAAATCCCCTGTATCAAAGTCACTATGTCCCTTGCACCCTTACTAATCTTATAGGGGCAAAGTCTCATAAGTGAGTTTGCCTAACTCTGAAACCCAAATAGACTGGCATGGTTATAAACAAAATGTGTTTTCTGCAAATAATCACGGATCGGTTGATGTCTTCGTCATTGTTTCTGAATAATTACATGGCAGAGGTTTGTAAAAGACATTCCGCATGCTATGATCATGTGAATACTGACCAGGTGCCATCTGGATCCTAGGTCTATTGAGATACTTTGAGTTTGGCAAGAACCACATAGCTGAAATCCTCCTTAATTTCTTGAAGACACTGCATCAGCACTCATTAGAAGGAGAAAAAAAGGAACTGCCCTCCCTTCCTAAACATACAACATTAATTTTCCTATTCGATCTAAATGCAGCCAAAAATCCAAACACCAGCTTAAAGCACACCCACACTAAATGAAATTTCAAATCACAAATGAAAGAAGGAGAGTTCGTTGCCTCAGGAGCTGTCACCAGCCGCAGCCTTGCTAATAAAATTCACCTCCACCTACAGAAGTTGCTGTCAAAAACTTCTCCAGACCGATGCATATGAGTTACCAATTATCCTCACTTTATTTCTTCAGTCCTTGGTTTTTCCAGAGACAGACAGGAAAATGTGACCTTGGGTGCCCACCACCAAACCAACTGGCTGGAGTGCAACATGTTCTGCAACAGAAGCACCTGCCGAGGGCTGGGCAATGGTTGGCACTGGGCAGCAGCCCCGGGTGACAGGCCAGTCACTGACAGCAGGCTCCACTCAACGACAGCCTCTGATGGGCCTCAACACAGCAAAATGGGGCAGCTCTTGCCAGCAATTAAGGAATAATGGCATGGCTCTGGTGCATTTGGCAGAACAGGCTCTTCTCTGGGTCACCTGACTGCCTATTTCGTAGGGAATATGGCCTATAAGATGGGACACACGCTCACTCATAACCGAGCAGGGAGTTATTCTGTTCATACAGGACACCTGGTTCCAGGTGCTGAGCAGCCTCCAGTTTCTGAGCCTCATTAAGGGCATAACCGGTTCCATATCAGAGAGAAAGGTGCCACTTTCCCTCCCCGAAAGCTGTCTTCCTAGGAGTTTAATGACAGTCCAAGTGAAGAAGCCTTGCCTCTGAATGAGAGACTGGACTCTGGTTTACTGAGAAGTAATCACAAGTCTATATCACACCACAGACTCCAACATTTGTTTTCTTTCCAGTCCCCCTTATAAACTGCAAAACTAGGAAAATTCCACTATGTTTAATCTCTGGATAGCCAACTATTTTCCTGAATTCAACCATGCAAATTCTGATCTTGAATTTGGGAATTCCATGTTCCATATTCTCCACCCAGCGTGCGTTCCATTCCTCCTAGCTCACCTGGTCTCAGGTAGAAAAGTCCTACCACTTGTTTGGGACACTCTCTATGCCTTGACTGCTAAATTTCTGAGGGCACAAAAAGGGACTTCTCCTTCAGTTTTATCCCTGGAGGCTGAGAAGGGTCAAGTAGAGTGTTGACCACACAGGTATTCAATAAATGCTGACTGAAGAAATGAGAGCAGCACATAAAAATGGAAGCTGTTGCAATGGGATCTAAGAATGCATTAATATTTCTAAACCTAGGGGTTCAACAGAAGCTTCCTGAATGAATGATCAGTACATGAAGGAGCTTCCTTCTAGTCACCAACTGTAATCAAGGTGTTTGGACTGAAGAACTGTCCCATGGAGGTTTTTACCCATATCCCTCTTTATCCAGGTGTTTGGATTGCATCAGTGGGTTGCAGCTGTATGGTGAGGGAGAAGAGCCTGGACTCACACATGCATCTTTGAGCCCCGGACCGGCTCTCACCATCCTACCTTGTTGTGATACTGCAGCATCTGAGTGATGATTCTTATCTTCGGATGGTAGTTCTTTATAGAGATTACTCTGAAAAAGAAAGAGCCAAAGTGAGGGAGGGTCAACTTTACAATTCGAATCTGATGAGTAGATTAATTTGATTACATCCTTTATGGAGTGAATCTGGGGCCAGCAGCCAGGGCCACCCAGAGGGGTTGCAGGCATTGGGCCAAGTTAAACCCTGTTTCCACCACTGTATCCTGTGGTAGTGTGAAAAAGAAATCACAAAATGGCCACAGACTGTGTCCTGGCCATAAAAGAAGAGAGAGGTCCTGTGGTGCCCTGGTGATGGTGTGTGAGGATGTGTGTACTGGGGCTGCGGGTTCCGGAGCAGGGGTCACGAGCTTACTGCCTATGCAGGCATCTAAATAAAGCAAGCTCAACTCCTGGGGCCAACAGAGGTTTGCAATCTTACATACCCTAGGGACCAGCCTAGAAACAATTTGCTCTGGGTCCAATTCAACAAGATAACAATTTGAGACAATAATGAGAAATCAAACAAGCAGCCTAACAAATGATTCTAATTATCAGACACACATGACCACTCTGACAAAAATGATTTCTAAGCAGGGCTCTTAGGATGGGTTCAATGCTAATAGCATCTAAACGATGACTTTAAGGCTACTTAGAGATAAGCATCAAGGCCTTGTGGGGGTTGTAACCAGGTAGAAAATTCCCTCCAAACTGCCCTCAGTCCATACTCAGGATTAACCACTGCCTGCCTCCACCAGAATCCTCATTTCTGCTCCCTGTGACAATCACTGAGCTCAATGGGGAGTGGCAGGGAGCAAAGGAACAGAAACACCTGGATTCCAGTCCCAGCTATTGTACTAAGGAACTGGGTGATCTTCAGGAAATTCCTGGCCTCTCTGTGACTGTTTCCTCATCAGGACATTGGGAGCAACAGCACCTGCTTTATTTATTTCACAGTCTTGGTATGAAGAGCAAATGAAAGACCAGATGTGAAAATACTTTGAAATCATTAAAAGCTCTCTCCATGTGTAAGTTATGGTTTTTGTCATTACCGACTCTGTCAGAGGTGACATTGTACATTTCCTTCTGTGACAAGGAAGTCTAAAGAATGGAATTCCACAGAAAGGCCCACCTCCTAAGCCTAATCAGAAATGCAAGTGCATTTATTGTGACCACCAGGAAACACTCTACGCTTCGTCCCTTTTTGTGCAAAGATGGAAAGAAGGGAGCCAGGGAGCAGCTTTGCTTGAAAAGCCACAACTTGTGAATTTAGGAAATGGATCATGCATAAGCCTTTCCCTGCACAAATTCACCCTGGGCTTCTGCACTTGAAGGATTTCATTTTATTTTAAAAAATGTGTTGTGTTGGCCTGTGCTTATAACTCAAGGACTTTGAGGCTCTGTCAGCCCTCTGAATTCAGTTCACAGCATCAGCCAGTTTTCTGCATTAGCTCATTTCAAATGGATCTTTGACATTTTAATTTCAAAAGGGGCAGACTGGTTTCATTAAACTAAGGAGAAAGGAGGATTATACAAATAAGGGAAAGACAGAGCCCATTTTTTAACCCTGAACTTTCCCTTTTCCTTTGCTGCCTGGGCCTCAGTTCTGATTCTGGTTAACGCATGGCTTAATTACATTTCTGACACCACCTTTGCTGTTATTTTTATGCCTTGGCATCATGCCAATCACCCTGATAACCTATATGTCTTCATATTAACCCTATTGCAGTCAGGGTTAAGAAAATACTGTGTTTAAGAGAAATGCCCATTTCAAAGCTATTATTCATTTCAGTTATTCACTTTTGAAAAACAAAACAGGGCTAGCCCCAAACTTCTATGTGGGATCAAAATGTTAAACTTCATCCTCTTTTGGTTTTTTATTTGCAAATTTGAAGATACTGAAGCCTAGTTCCTTAAAGGCTACATTTTTATCATTTAAAATGACACAAAAACGTGGTGAAGGATGGAAATCCTTGTTCAAGGAAAGGGCCAACTGACCCTAAGCTGAAGCTGTTGCAGTCACTTTCCAGCTGTGACTAGCGAGAGGGTGGACTAGGTGTGGAAGCATGTCCCTGCACCACCATCTCCCTGCAGCCTGGCAAGCCCAATGCTTACAAGAGTTTACACATCAACTTCCTTAAAATGAGATCACTAAGCCTATTGCCAAAGAAAAGCAAGTGGAAAGAGAAAATTGTGCCAGATGTCGCTTGCCAGACACAAGGACCAGATGCTGAGGGAAGGCCTTGCTCATCCAAAACGTGCCAGAGGAATTCCCCCACCCCGATGGGAAAGATCGTGTCACTTGAGGCCATTGATTAAAAGCAAAGAAACGGAGATGCGAGCATTATAATGATGTAAAGGCCACCTCCCAGCCCTCCACCTCAGGTAAACTCCCAGGACACAGTAAACCAAGCTGCAGAGAGAGGGGAATCTTTGCCTGGACTGAAAGGATGGCTGTTCACAATCAGGCAAGAGTTCCTGGGAATACAGTGGGAGTGAATTGTTTTCTCTTAGTTCATCTTTTCTCTAGAAGGTTCTCTTTATTATTCCCTCCCAGCTCTCTTAACTATTCTGCAATTTATGCCGAAGGAGAAATAATCCAAAAGGGCTTCAAGTATCTGGAGCAAAATATCTTAACTTTTTGGTCACGTCATAGTCACAAGATGTCTAGAATATGGGTCTATGAAAAGAACAAAAATGGCACGATTTTCTTCTGAAATGAGAAAAGAATGAGGAGTAGGAGTTGAGCGGAGAATGGCTGTAGATGGGTCAGGCATTTGCAGAAAAGGCATTGGGCAGTGTTTTCCAAAGCGTGCTCCCCCAGGAGATGTTCTGTAGAAATTGGGGGCATGGGTTGTGACCAAATAGGCTTGATAAATTCTCTGTAGAATATTATTGTAGAAATTCCTGTCAGTATTAAAAGCACTGAGAAGGCTTTCAGTGAACAAAACTATTTCGTTTTGGGAAACTATTTCATAATCGGTCAACAAACTCCTCTTTGTGGGGAATATTCATCAATGTGCTATAGACACACTTGGAAAGTTCTAATGTGGGGCTCTCAACCTTGGCTCTAGTGACATTGTGGGCCACAGAATTCTCTGCTGTGAGGGATTCTCCCATGCATTGTAGGATGTTGAGCAGCATCCGTAATCTCTACCCACTAGACATGAGTTATCCCCTAGTTATGACACTATCCCCTAGTTATGACAACCAAGAACATCTCCAGATATTTCAAAATGTCCCCAGGGAGACAAAACTGGCCACAGTTAAGATATCTCAGGCCCACTCCTCCTTAGGAAACATAGTACCTTATTTCAGGCCTGCACTCATTTAAATCTGTCTCTCCTTTTCTAGTCCTGTCTGAAGTATCTCAAACCAAGACAGATGGTAAGCCCCAGAGCTCCCACCTGCTAAGGATGAGCTTTCTGTTGACGACGGCTTGCATCCTTGCCCCGCAGCCACCATAGCCTTAATTTCCCCGAGACCTATGCTTGTGGCAAGTTGTGGGGTGGCCTATGGGGGAAAGAGGGTCCCACAGAGATGGTGCTCTGCAGAGGACACAAAAGGGCTGCAGAGTGCCAAGCCCCGAGCCTTCCCGGCCTCCCTACAGTTACCTCATGATGTTGGAGGCATCTTCCGCATCTGGGTCAGCGCAGTACTTATTGGCAAGGATTAGGCACGCATCTGCTGACTCTATCTAAGACACCAAAAGGAAAATCACAGAACAGAAACATATAAATAGCCATGCTTGGTTGTAGTTTCTCTCTGTTGACGGCTCTTAGGGAACCCAGCACTTTGCAAGGAAAGAAAAAAATAATCCTGAGAGATTACAGTTTTTGTCAAAAGTGTAGGTTGCAAGTACTTGTTATGGTATAAACATTTCATCTGGTTGCTGTTGGAGGGTCCAACATGTACCTTGGTAATTATACTTTTCATTTTGCATAGTCTCTTACATGTAAGCTTTCCAGATTTCTTTAAATAACAATTAATTAAGCCTCAGTCCCCTCCTTGCCTCCTTTCCCCACCATCTGCACCATCATCTTAATTTTTCCAGTCAGGAAATGTTAGGTGGGCTAACCCCCTCCTCTCGGGTTACCAAGTCAACTGAGTAGTTGACGATTCAGAAATTTAGACTCCAAAGTCCTTCGTCTAAACTTTTTCACATCTTCATTAACTACGGAAGAAGAGGAAATGAGAGCCCTAAATCAGATAACAGCCCAGGGCTGTTTAGTATTCAGTTAGCATTCAGATATTCAAAAGACAACAAATCTACGTGTATGAAATGATGTGTTACAGATGAGCTCAAAATACAACCTACTGACTCATCTAAACATGAGCCAAAAAAAATTTACTCCTTTGAGGGGATGATGAGTTGTGCTAATAATTGTTTGCATCTAAATTAGGTCCATGAACAATAAGTATTTTCTCCAAGTTCTATAAGAGTTCACATTAGCTACAACTTGGATCATGTCTGGATAATATTAAGATTAACTGGACTCTAGAAGCATAAGAATTCTCATGCTAGCTCAGATCTGCAATCTGTCCTACTTGGTATGTCGTACTTAACAGGCCATTCCTGCAGTTGGTGGGAGGGCATGGTTTCTTCCATGGTATGTTACAAATTGTCTCTACTTTTCTTTAATAATCCAAAGAATTTACCCAAATCCTCTTGGGCTTACTCATGTTTGCCAGTTATATCATTTACTGAATTATGTGGTGATCACAGTTAGCATTTAGAAATCAGTGGATTCACAATATTAATCTATACCCACTCACATGCAAATATTGGACATGCTTACAAAACCTGTATAAAATGAGTAAAGTAGCAGATGCCCCTTCCTGTACAAGGTGTGCTTTATAAGAAGATTCTAACTTAGCAGGTTCTGGAAAGAAAGATTAGCCCATTCTCAAGTGACATCAGATACCTGCATATTTAGTTTTGCACCTTTAGTCTTTGGCAGGGGAAAAGAAGAAATTCAAAATGTTTATGGCTTGGTAAATTTTTATTTTACACTTTATCCTTAATGTTCCTGTCTGATGCAAATAATAGATTTCAGAGCTACGATGAGTTCAATTTAAGTATTCAAGATGGGATTACTCGATTATTATGTTGTATATGAGACTACTGAGTCCATACAACTGGTCTGTTTCCTTTGGCAATGCTGATATTGAGGGAACTAGCAAAGTAAATTTCACATTATAACTAGTCCAAGTGTGGAACACTTATAGGTGGTCTAGCATGTGCCAGCAGAATGAGTTCCCGGGACCAGTGCAAGCGTGATGTCAAGGCTGGTGGTATCTGACAACTCATTAGGGGTTTGGAAGTGACTCTTGGCCATCCTGGGAGGCATGTTCCCTTACCACAGAGTCAGACTATCCTCACAGATGGAGTAAAAGCAGAAGTCACCTCTTCCTTCTTACCTTGACTCTTGCAAGATCATGTGGATTGAGGACTGAACCCTGATAAAATTCCACCTGAGTAAAATGTCGTTTGAACAGAGCTTCAAGCTCCAGGTTAGGAGAAATGCTGTAGAGAAAGAAGAAACAGGCATTAATATAACAGACTCAGGCATTTCAGCCTCCATGGCCTCCCTTCTCTTGGATTTCCACAGAGGAAGACCTTGGAAAGGCTTTCACCTTCAAAGCAGCCCCCTTTCTTGCCATAAATAAAAGGCTCACACTCAAGAGAAGTAAAACTCCAGCCCGACAGAAAACCGAAACCAGCACCAAGCTCAAATAAAGAGGCTCCCAACCTTTACAAAGTCTGAGGTCTCTGGGGAGAAATGTCTTTGACTTCATTATGAATGGAATCCCTATTTTAGAATACAGAAACTGAGGTTGTGACATCAGGATTGGCAGAAGGGCCCCCTGGCAGAGCCTCCTGCCCCAACCTCCATCAAAAGCCTCTTCTCTGCTTCTCTACCTCATGGACTTCTCATCCCCCAGGGCCTGATTCAAAAACATCACCCCAGAGCAGCCACATGTAGAGTTAATTTACTCTCAGTACTGCTCTTGAGTCACACATGTGAACTCCCACTGGAGGACAAGAAGTAAAACACTGATTGACCTATTCATTAATTTGTTAATTCTGCAGGGATGGAAAATATCTACTCTCTCTATAGGGTAAACTGCTAGGCCCAAGGAGACAATATTTAGTTAGAATCTACTAGGTGCCAAGGACTGTGTTAATCAACACTTGTCTAACATTTGTTAAGTACTTAGTAATAATAATAATTGGTAATGTTTTTGAGCATTTACTATGTGGCAGACACCATTCTAAGCACTTGACAAGTATTAACTCATTTAAACTTCAAAACAACCCTAGAGAAAGGCATGTTATCAACCCAAAGCTTTGAGAGCTTAATTAACTGGGCCATCTTCCACAATGCTGACACTGATAGATGCAGGGGACACAAAGATGAATCCTAACAATTGAAGCATCAGCAGCCAGCTTGTTGATCGAGACTAAAGCAGTAGGTAAGAGAAAAGCACCTGCCTGTGCAAATGCAACCGGTCTTCCAGGTCCATTACAAGTTAGGCCTCTTTTAGGAAGCCTGCCCTGGTAATGCAAGAATTGGTGGTCTCTCCCTAATACAGACGTCCCATGCAGTTCTGCCTCTTGATTAAGCAGACTTCAGTCTGTTAATAAATGGTCAATGTTGTGGTCTAATATCTTGAAATGTGTGACCACTACAAGGGCAGAACTCACACATTATACTTCTCTTGAACCTTCTAAACGCTCAGCAGAGGACGGGCTCCACAGCTGGTAATCAGTGGCTAAGCACTGTTGGATCTGTAGGTTCTGCTCCTATGCCTATGGCCTAGCTGGTCTTTTCAGAACTTAGAGAAGTCAGTGCTGAGAGGAAAAATGTTGGTGCTCAAACATGGTGGCCAGTTTGGTATTCTGTGAACAAATGCCAAAATGAAGGAGAAGCACAGAATGGAGCTTGTAGGGAAGTCAGCCTCAGTGGGCTCTCAGAGCAGGACTGAGTTCTGGTCAGTCAACCCCATATCGAACCAACACCAATATGTGAGCTTTTATCCCCTGGCAACTTGGGGCTAGAGCTGGCTCCATGAGTGCCTTGTCCCCATAAAAAAAGATGGTGTCACCGTCAACATGCCTGAGCCCTCCAGCACATCCCTGTGGCACACTACCTTTTACCTAAAAGGCAAAGCTTAAAAATCTCAAAACATTCAGTGGATGGAAGCTATCTCGCTTTCCTCACCTGTAAAACAAACATGATAAGAGCTACCTCCTAAGTTGACAACACAGCCTAATATATTTTATCTTTCACATAATAGCTAACATTCATTGAGCACTTACTGTGTGTCTGATTCTGCTCTGCATGTTTTATATAGATTACTTCTGTTCATGTCACAACAGCCCAAGGAGGTAGATAGAAACCGTTATGATCTCCCCACCTTATGGATGTGGAAACCGAGGCTCAGGGAAGTTAAGTAACTTGTTCAGCAAGTAATTGGTTGAGTCAGGATTCGGATAGAGGATGCTGAGTCCAGAGCATGTACTCTATTGATTAAAGGAAGACAGTGCGCATGGTGTCCAGCAGTGTCCCACACTGAAGGGCTCTAGGAACGGCAGTTGTTATTGTTATTATTACCTTATCCTCTGCTTCCTCTTGTATTTGCATCTTGCTTGGTCATTATGTCACTCCTGCAGTCATAAAGCGTCCACACCACATAGCTAATAATTCCACACCAGACCCTGTGGACACACCTGGATCGCACAGATCCAGACAGCTGAGGGGACAGTATGACGTGTTTGACCCATAATGAACTCTACTGTTATTTGCCAGAATTGCCTCCACACAGGCAGGTGCTGCTGTCATCAATGAACTAATGTGTTGCTTCCCTTTCCATTGGTTCCATATCGTCTTCTCCTATGAGGGCGGTAGAGATGGTGCTGATTCAACTCTGCCCTTTCCACAACGGTGCCCCACTCACCACCTACAGACACTCAGAGAGGCCCCTCAGGGTGCCTGGTTGGGTAGAGGGTCTCAAAACAGCAGGGGGTGGGCTGGCCCAGTGGCGCAGTGGTTAAGTGCGCACGTTTGCTTCGGCAGCCCGGGATTCACGGGTTCAGATGCCAGGTGCAGACATGGCACTGCTCATCAAGCCATGCTGTGGCAGGTGTCCCACATATAAAGTGGAGGAAGATGGGCATGGATGCTAGCTCAGGGCCAGTCTTCCTCAGCCAAAGGAGGAGGATTGGCTGCAGATATTAGCTCAGGGCTGGTCTTCCTCAAAAAAAAAAAAACAGCAGGGGCAGCAGGGGCCTCTTACTTGTGAAGAAAGACAATCTCCACGTTGACATCATCCCGGTCCTTGTGTAGAAAGTCCTTCAGGAAGTTGGAAACACTCTCCAGAGTGATGTGTCCACAAACCACAATGTGCCTGAATGGGAGAGGCCAGTTAGTGGAGGCCAACCCAGTGACGACCAGGCACCCACACCCAGCAAGACAGAGGAAGCAAGCAGCTGCAGGGAAGCAGTCATCTCCCCCCAGGCCTCAATAAAAGCCCAGCTCCCATCCCCAGAGGGCTGTGAGGCAAAGCTGCGGTGCTGGCAGGTGCTCAGAGACTCCTCGACAGAAAAGGCATATGGCTTCTCACCTGATGCTGCACAAAATCCTATTAAAAGCCCAACCGTTTGGCCAAGTGATTTTATGCATTTAACAATAAGTGACATAATGCTTGTGCTTAAATGCTGCATTATCAAGTCTCTTGAAGATTCATATCTCTCCCTTTCTGCCCACAAAGCGTCCTCCTGGGAGATTTACCGAATGAGTCTTGGTTTATGACATAGAGCTTATCAGGTAATGAGATAACAAATCTTGCTGAAACGATGATTTTGTGTGTAAGAAAGCGGACTTTTATCAGGGTGGCTAATGTGCGGCTTGACACATTATGGGCTCTGCTGGCCATAAGCAGTAAAAAGGAAATTTTGCATTTTTCTGCCATAACTCCTCCGACAATGGGGGCATGTAACACTTTACAGTAAGTGAGCATTACTCAGGGCTAAATGAAGATGGGATGCCTATGGAATGGGAGATCATGCTGCAGGCTGCGTGTCCCCAGACAGCTGATTCCTTAGGGTGCCTAGGACTTCCACAAGAGCCAAAGGAATTCACCTCAAGATGAGGAGAAGCTAAGAAGGGAGGAGGCTGAAATTGTTTGCCCTGTTCCAGGGTGGTTTGGACTTCTGTTTCTGGAGATGGTAGCTCCCCTTGAGGAAATGAGCCTTTCTTCCAGAACTGCTGAAACAACAATCTCCCCAATATCTTTGCACTCCTGGACTGATTTGACTTTGACACCGGGCTGTACTGTGGCCGCTTATGTTCGATACACGATGCTCGATTGAGAGTAAGCAATTTGGTGCAAGAGTCAGCCCCATGACCAAAAGCTGGGGACTGACCTTGGAGATGAAACCCACTGGCTTCTAGTAAAGAGACTGTAGCAAAGGGCAACCCAGGTCCCTGCACCTCTCAGGCTGAGAGTGATATAGGCTGAATCGCTGGCTGGGCAAGTGGCAAACAGGAAGCACGTAATTTCGTGGGAAAAATTTAGAATGGCCAGGCCCCTTGCACTTCATAATTGCTCTGTACACATTCCAATAAGGCAGAAACTCATTGGCTGGAGACTGCTCATAATAGGAGGCAGTGATGATCACTTACGCAATGTTCCTTTAGATGCCATTACAAGAGCCTGCCCTTTCATTGTAATTTGGTGCTTGACTAAGTATGTGAGAATAAGGCAGCAAACTCATTGGTGAAAGGATAATGATGCAGAACAAAGAGTAAATCAATAATATGCACGATGCAGTTAATAATATCACCATTATGGACTGTTATTTTTACGGCGCTGCCTTAGCAAATGGGCAAGCAGAGGCCATCATGGGGAGGGAAGAATGTCAATGAGCTACCTCAGAAGAGAGGTTTTACCATGATCACTTTGCTCTCTAGCCAGTACCAGGTAGGTTGAGCAAGATCCCTTGGTCACCCATTCAAATTTTATGCCCAAAACCCATGTGGCTAACTTCCTCCTGAAACACACAGTATGTCAGAATACACAACGTAAACTGAACACTTGGATTATATACATTTTTATCATGTCATATCTTAAAATATTTCTTGTGGTATATGTGCATTTATATGGACAAAACAGGCTGAAAATGAATTTTCATGTTCTGAATAAGATTTCTGACGCTGCATTTGCCAAGTGTGTGCAGAAAGTGACCAAGAAACAGAATCTCTGTCTTGATTTGACCTCTCCACAAATGACGGTGAGGCTGCTGGGAGCAATTCTAACATTTTCCGCACTTTCTAACACTTTCTAAGTTTCTAACACAAACTTCCATGATTTAGAACAAAGCCAGCATAAATCCAACTATGGGCCCCTCTACAGGACAGTTAAGTGGTTGGGGCTCTGCCCCTCACCTGGATGTGAAAGTAAGCCAGATTTGGTTCGTACTTTGCCACCAAGGGTGTGTGTGATCTTGGGCAAGCGACTTATGCCCATTCAGTAGATGAAGGAGCTGAGAGGTTAATACCACCCAGCCAGCCTCCTGCACCAGGCATTGCAAAACTCAAAGTTCTGTACCAGCATAAGCCTGGTTATTATTCAAAACTGGACTCAAATCAATGATAAGTCCAGGGAAATGCCTGAACATCCATCCTTTCTATCCTCTATGAAAAGAAGTGAATGAACATCTGCCAGCATTCCCTCTTCCTCTTCTGAGATCATTCATCTCTAGGACAGAGGTGTGAGAAGTGAAAGGGATGGAGATGAGCTCACCCTCCCACCCTTGAATCAAAGGCTCGGCCAGCTGATTTATTCAGCCTTAGAAAGAGTCAGGGTTCTCTTAGTTGAAAATGTGCTGGGTCCATATAAAATATATTCCACTGCAATCAATATTATCCCTTAAGCCTTTAATTAGCTTTCACTTCTCTTAAGAAGTAGACAAATGCTGGCAGGAGAGAGAAGAAAAAAAGGATTGACCTTTCTCATTTGGTGCTAGCTGTCCAATACCATTCTAGACAATTGAAAATATATATCTTTTAGCTACAGCATGATTTCTGGGGTGGAGAACAGTCTTTATCAAAAAGGGAGGAAAAAAATCTTCCTTCAACATAATCGGTATTTTTGCTCAGAAAAAGCGAGATTGATTGAAAGCAGATTGCCTTCTTGCCCCAGGAGAGTTATTAGGTACATTATCACGGCACCCTTGGAGAACCCATATTGTTCCAATCTGTCCTATATCTGATTTGAAGATTTATGGCTTCCTCCTTTTGTGCCAATAATCATTTCCGTCCATTTTGTTTTCCATACAGTGAAAGTTATCAAGGAGCCCACATATTGAAAATGTTTGAATGCAGTTAGAGTTGATGGATGAGGAGAAGTCAGCTCTCTAACTCAGCATCTGCATTAGAAGATCCGCTCCTACCAGCCTGTGTCTGTGTCTAGGCATGCTGAGGGCCTACAGGGGCCTGAGGGATGGATGGTGAAAGGGGAAAATTTATTTTCCAGAAATATCCTCAGGACACTTGAACTTTCCAGGGGCAGAAGTTTTGGGAAGGATACTATTTCAGGGAGAAGAGAAATAGAATTTCTTGTACCTCCAATGACTGAAAATATTCTAAGACTGAGAGCAGGGTATGCCCGCCTTGGAAACAGTCATGGTTGTTTGTGGTGCATGATTTGAAGAATGCCAAAAAGATCCTCATCCAGAATTATCTCTGTCGGGTTCCATGACACCTACAAATCTACTGTGTAAGATTCATACTTTGATAGCCCTGTGTTAGCGCAGGTCAGACACTAAATAACTAAATAGTCTTGGGCTACGTACCAATTCTGCATCTTACAACTATAAAGTTAGAGTCTCTGAGGGGCTGGAGCTAGTAGCTGATTCATGAAGTTATCTTGAGGATTTATTTAAATAGATAATACACATGAAGGGCATGGTGAAGGGTCTGGCTCATTGTAAGTATTATTAAATGGCAGGATTCATGAGATATCTGTAAATCAGTGTGTAACAGACATAAAGTGCTCTGTGACCTTTAGAGTCTCACCTAATCCTCAAACAACCTTGTGTTCCTGCTATCTGCATCTTTTCAGATAACTTCTCTGAACTTCAATTTTCTTAAGTCACATGTTTGGCATCTCACAACAAGTAAAAGCCACTTGCCCAGGATGAGATCCAGGTTGCTGACTCTAATTCTCACTAAGACAAAGGTGATATAGAGAGAGCAAAGGCTTGAGTATTTCAGCTTCTGCTCTTTCATGACAGGCTAGGCTGGGTCAACAAGAGATTCTCTCGGACACGTGGTGGAGGGGCTGTTGAAGGGGTCCTCAGTGGGCCAGGAGAGAGGCTTAGCCTGCGGACTGAGGTGGACAGAGATGCACCTCACTTAAAGCATCACAGCACTGCGGCATCACTAGATTCTGACTACACCTAGTCAGCTGGACCAGTGGATTCAAGACAGCAAAGGCTGAGTGACAGTGGAAACTCTACACCAAGTTTTTAACTTAAGCCACACAATTTGGCAAGCCAAGGGGCTACAACATGATGCAAATGTCCATTTTAGATATTATATGCCATGTCCAGCTTAGGACTTCCTCATCAGCCCAAGGATCCAGAAGATAACAGAAAGCTAAATGATCCATTTACGGTGGAGAATAATTAGGAAAGCTATGCCATGAAGGTAGCTAAAATTGTTTCCATCTGTGGCTCTGAATTCGAATTTTTTAGATTACTAGCAATCTTAATGACTGATTTCTAGAGGGCCTGGCAACCTGGTTTGTGAAGATGGCCAACAAACCTAAATCAATAACTATTTCTGTTCTGACAGATCAAAGTTTGATTAAAGTTTGATTAAAATCAAAGTTTGATTAAAGTTTGTCTAGTTCTGTGAACAAGTCTTTCTTGGGATAAAATAATATTAACGGCTTGCATTAAAAGATCCATCTCAGGGGCCGGCCCAGTGGCGCAGTGGTCAAGTTTGCATGTTCTGCTTCTCAGTGGCCCAGAGTTCGCCACTTTGGATCCCGGGTGCTGCCATGGCACCGCTTGGCACGCCATGCTGTGGTAGGCATCCCACATATAAAAGTAGAGGAAGATGGGCATGGATGTTAGCTCAGGGCCAGTCTTCCTCAGTGAAAAGAGGAGGACTGGCAGTAGTTAGCTCAGGGCTAAACTTCCTTAAAAAAAAGAAAAATCCATCTCAAACCCACAAGGAAGCATCTTAAATGTCAAAATTGTAGCAGATGGCATTTTACGGGAACAAGTAACTCTTCCAGTGTAAGCAAGCATGTCCGTTTTGGGGTAAGGGCTCCATAAACACAAGCTAGATTGAAGTAGGGATGGGTAACACTGGGTCATGGAACAAGCATAGCATCAA